GAAGGTCCGGGGAGACCCGACTGCAGCCCAGGAGGCCAGGCCGCTTGGCTGGGAGGACCAGGCCGCTCAGGGAGCTGCGTGGGTGTAGGAGACCCCGTGTCTGGGAGGAGGCAGCTGTGTTATCGGTCTCCCTCCCTGAAGACTAGGGCCCTTGAGGACAGAGCCTGGGTCTAGTGTGTCCAAAAACACACCCTCCCCACCCTGCTCAAGCCTGCACCCTTTACACATGTTGCTGGATGGCCAGGACCGTGTAAACAAGAGGAGGGAATGTGGATGTTTACCCTAAGGTGATGGCAGGTCTCGGGAAGTTCAAGGAGGCAAGGAGGGGGGTCACTGGGTTTCCATTTGGAGAGGGTTCTCTGGGCTGCCGTACCGAGGAGGGCCTGAAGTGGACCAGGATTCCTGCGGGAGACAGTGTAGATGGTAGAAGGGATCCCGGACCATCACCATAACCTCTGAACCAGCCTCTCCACAATTACCCTTCTCAACACACAAGTCAAGTGTGTTGACTTGACCTTCTTTATCTCAGAACCCTGCAGAGCTTTCCCTTCTGTAGAGTCAAGTTTAAGTCCTTGGAACAGCCTTCGAGGCCACACACAATGTGATCCTAAGCCACCTGTCCACAGCCCCTGCCACTGCCTTCATCTACTCTTCCAGCCAATAAGAGGATGTGTCTGTCAAGGTCACTCACCCTCTGGCAAGCTTGCTTCTGCCCCTCCCAGGGGCCCATCCTCCAGGGACCATCTCAAAGTCTCCTGAGGCCGGTGGTGCCTTGCTCCTCCTGATGGTTACCCCAGCGCTCTGCACACTGTGGGCACTTTGCTAAGGCTTGTGGAGTAGAATCAAACTGCAGTGCTTGCAGCTGGATTCATTTAATACTTATTGAGCAGCAGAAACCATAAGCAAAAAGACTGATCCATTTAATTACCTTAAAATATAAAATACTGCTCTGAAATGAAAATGCAAAGTTAAAAGACAAACTGGGAAAAATACATAGAATACATATGACGAACAGGTATTAATAAATTTTCTTACCAAGCCAAGCATTCCCCAACTGGTTCACAGCAACAATCTAAGAAGAAGGAAAAAAAAAAGGGCAAAGGAAATAAATATGCCCATTCCATTTTTCACTCGAAGTTTTAAAGTGCCCAGAGGGAATGAGGGCCTGAGGAACAAGGAAGGACTCACAGGCTTTTCATCCAGGACTGTGAAGGTATGCTTCCTGGGGGAAGGAGTAACTACAAAATTCAAACTAATGAAACCTTCAGCCTAGAAATTTCACTCTTAGAAATGCAGCATGTAGATAAAAGAACAGGCAAAGCACTCATAGCTGACATTACTTTTAAGAGGAAAGGAATCCATCTGTGGGAAATGGGTCCATGACCTAGTATCTCACAAGGAAAGACCTACAGTGGACCTGTAACCAGCCATGCAGAACTATTCCAAACTACACTGCTCAGTGGAAAAGGCCAAGCGTCTCCACTCACGCACTACCATGTTCTTTTGCAAACCAAATATACAGCTATAACTGCTGTTTAGTTGCTAAGTTGTGTCCAACTCTTTTCTGACCCCACAGACTGTAGGCCTGCCAGGCTCCTCTGTCCATGGCACTTCCCAGGCAAGAATACTGGAGTGGGTTGCCACTTCCTTCTCCAGGGGAATCTTCCTGACCCAGGGATTGAACCTGTGCCACTGGGTCACCTGGGAAGCACCGGGATGTGCCTGTACTTGCATGCAAGACCTTGAAAACCCCTGACATTGGCTGCTTCTGGGCAGATTTATTTACATTGTATACCCATTCACATTGTTTGAATCTGCCGTGTTTTCCAATATGTTCAATTTTAAAAGTCTGCCTTCCCCAAACACATACAGAGCTGTTGATCATTTATTATATACTAGAAGCTTCCTAGGAATGTGTTATGGACAGAACTGCTTCTTGGAGTAGTTGACATTGCTACGTCCATTATAGTGGATGACATTGCTTCCATCCTTCAAGAGTATCTGGATAACTACAACCATGTAGCTCTTAGAAGAAACACCTATGTTAACCTTTGGACTTTTTTGTAGACATGACACCAAAAGCTACAACCACCACCACGAATTGGATTACATCAAAATGAAAAGCTTCTGTGTTTCAAAAGACACCGTGAAGTGCAAACACAACATATTCAGAATGGGAGATAAAATTTACAAACCATGTATTTTATCAAGGACGTGTATCTAGTGTGTGTAAAGGACTCTGGCAGTGATAAAGATACACAACCCAATTTAAAAATGGGCAAAGGCATCAGCAGACGAATGGATGAGGGAGCTGTGGTACATATACACCATGGAATATTACTCAGCCATTAAAAAGAATTCATTTGAATCAGTTCTAATGAGATGGATGAAACTGGAGCCCATTATAGAGTGAAGCCAGAAAGATAAAGAACATTACAGCATACTAACACATATATATGGAATTTAGCAAGATGGTAATAATAACCCTATATGCAAAACAGAAAAAGAGACACAGATGTACAGAACAGACTTTTGGACTCTGTGGGAGAAGGCGAGGGTGGGATGTTTCGAGAGAACAGCATGTATATTATCTATAGTGAAACAGATCACCAGCCCAGGTGGGATGCATGAGACAAGTGCTCGGGCCTGGTGCACTGGGAAGACCCAGAGGAATCGGGTGGAGAGGGAGGTAGGAGGGGGGATTGGGATGGGGAATACATATAACTCCATGGCTGATTCATGTCAATGTATGACAAAACCCACTGCAATGCTGTGAAGTAATTAGCCTCCAACTAATAAAAATAAATGAAAAAATAAAAAAATAAAAATGGGCAAAGGATCTGAGCAAACATTTCTCCAAAGAAGATCTCTAAGTGGCCGGTATGTATGTAAAAAGATGCTCAGCATCATCAGCCATCAGGGAAATGCAAATGAAAACCCCAATGAGGTACCAGCTCAGGCCCTCTAGGACGGCTGTCATCAAACGCGGGTATTACAACAAATGTTAACGAGCATGTGAACAAACTGGAACTCTGATATGCTGTCAAGTGGTGCTGCCACTCTAGAAAACATGCTGGCTCCTCAAAAGACTAAATGTACTTACCACATGACCCAGTATGGTCACACCGGTTCAACTGCTGGGCATATATCCAAAAAGACACTGTCTATGCAAAAACTTGTACACACAAGTTTCAAGAAGCAACACACCTCATAAAAAAGCCAATAACGCAAACAACCCAAATACCTGTCAACTGATGAACGTATAAATGAAATGTGGTATATTCACACAATGGAAGCTTTGTCAGCAACAAAATGAAGCACTGATATCAGCATCGGGACTGAACCTTGAGAACATGAGGTTGAGGGAAAGAAACCAGTCACCAAAGATCACAAGGTGCACGATGCCATTTATAGAAATGTCCAGAGCAGGCAATTCTAGAGACAAAAAGTATGTGAGTAGGTGCCTGAGTGTTGGGGATGTGAAGTGGGGATGAAGGGTGGTGTGTGTTAGGAGCAGATCAAGAGTGCTAACAGGTACAGGCTTTCTTTCTGGGGTGATGCCTCCTAAAATCAATTGTGGGGATGGATGACAATTTTGTCAATATACTACTAATAAAAACCATTGCACTGTACACTTTAAACAAATGATTTACATGGTATACAAATTGCACATTGATAAACCTGCTATTTAAAAATAAAAAGAGTTAGGCCAGGACAAATAAATGTGGATATTGGTTTGTACATTTAAAAAGGTGATGTTAAAATTCCACTCTTAAATACACCTAGAAGTACTGAAATGTTTCTTACACAGTAAGTATTCATTTCTTGTCAGCTCCTATCTAAATCCATCATTTTTGCAATCAATACAAATCAAAGAATTTCTGAAACAATTCTACCTTTTATTTGAATAGAATCATACTTGAAAATAAAAGTTCCATAGTTTAAAAACCTCTGACCTGGGTTTTGGACTAGGACCAACAAGCTGGACAGTTTGTGTCAGCGGCTGTCGTAATATTCCTACACCAGGACCAGACAAAGAGAAGGGACACAAACTATCTGTTTTCACTTTCTGTACACATGAAATTTGATCAAATAATGTGTCTTTTACAAAGCAATCCTGTAAATGAAAGACCCTGGATTTTAAAAGGCGGTGAGTTTGAGACCTGCTTTACACCACCACCCCAGTCATGATACTGAATATTCTCGCTTTTATATCATAAAATGAAGCTCAGCTCCAGCCTCATCCTGTGTTGCAATCACCTGACGAACCCCAGCCCCTCCTTGTCCATCTCATCCTGCAGGTAGAAACCCCACCTCTGAAAGCATCACCCTTTCTTTAGAAGGCTGTCCAGTAATCACAGACTGCAGTCACAGAATCCTTTGACTAAGCCCATCCTTAAGGAAACATAAAGAAAACCAGTTCTCTGTATGTCACTTAAAGACACCTGTGCCTCCCCAAGGCTTTTTAAATCAAGGTACATGAGTGATGTCAGGGAAGACACCTTAGTGACATGCCTGGGACTGAGGCCCAACGGGTACCCACCCTGGACCTGCCGTCCAGTCTGCTCCCCACCACCCCTCCAGGGGGACAGTCCACACACTGCTCTCCACACACGGCTCCAGCCCACCCTCTATGGTGCTGTCACGCACATCACTTCCCTTCCTTGGAGACACTGCCTCCCTTTCACCCCCATTAATCCCTCCCTTGTTCGCATCTTACTTCTTTCTCTCAAGACCCAGCGGAAAAACTCAACTCTCCACTGAGCTGTTCCTAAGGCCCGACTGCCTTCAGCAAGTCTTGTGAAGTCGGGGACATGGCAGAGCCGGGGTGGCCCACTCTCATCGTGGCACTGGCAGCAGAAGCGGAGGACACGGGACTTCCCCTGAGGAATCCGAGCTCTGTCTGGGTAAGGCCCGAAAGGTCTTATGAAGTCGCAGTAACCACTTATTAAAAATATTTATCTGTGCCTAAGTTAAATACACAATTTTAATGCAAACACTCAATAGGGCATCTTCCCCATTGCTCCTAAGATCTCGTCTCTCTCTGCTGCCGTGGGCATGGGCGGCTCCACTCCGTTCTGTCTTCTCTGGATCATGACAGAGTTCTACAAGTATGTACAAAAGAGAAGAAACCAGAATCAGTCACATACTAAATGCGAATCAACTGCCAGTAATCGGCTATTGCGTCTTCTAAAAGGAAACACAAAAGGGCAGGTTAAAAAAAAACAAAATAAATTCTAGGACTCTAGATAACGTTTTGAGATTATGCATTAAACAGAAGTGATTATTCCCTTGGTGGTGGTGGTAGCTCAGTTGCCAAGTCCTGTCCGACTGCTTTGTGACCCCATGGACTGTAGCCCGCCTGGCTCCTCTGTCCCTGGGATTTCCTAGGCAAGAATACTGGAGTGGGTTGTCATTTCCTTATCCAGGGGATGTTCCTGACCCAGGGATCAAACCCGCACCTCCTGCATTGCAGGTAAGTTCTCTACTATCGTGCCTCCAGGGAAGCCCCAATATTCCCACAAGAATATGTCACCTGTTACTAGGATGGGAATACAGTGTTCAACTACCAGCCCAGAAGCACAGCTCACCAAGAGCTCAGAACAACTGCCCAAAGGAGCCAACAGGTGACCACAACAGGTGAGTGAACACAGGGAAAGGAAGCCATTGGAGCCAGTGCTCAGAGAAGCAGAAATTACAATATATATAAGAAAACAGGGACCATGGGCAGTGCTGGGGGAGTAGGAGGCAGAAAAAGAAGCCAGATACATGTGGTGACAGGGCAAGCCCGCCAGTCCATCCACCTCTAGAAAACTAACATGATGACAAGATACTGATCCACATAGGAAGACCCACCTCGGTTGGAGCTACATCCTAACACATGGGAGGGGGTGAGGCAGCCAACGAGAGTGCCCGAGGGTCCTGAGGGCACACGGGGTATGTGGTCGGAAAGGTGGGCTTCCCACAGCCATCTAAGGAGGGTGGTGGGTTCTGACAAACCTCAGGCTTCAGACTCATGCCTAACAGATGAGTTCTAACAGAGGTGACCTAGCCAAGCTTACCCAGAACTTCCGGCAGTTCTTGTACTTCAAGAAGTGAGAGGAACAGCTCTCCTTGTCATAGTTATTTTCGGCCATGCATCTGGTAGACGCGTCCGATTCCTTAAATATGCAAGACAGGCAGCATTTAGGAGGCAGAGTGGCATCTAAAAAACAGATACACACACCTCTGAAGCTGCGTCCCCCAGAGCAGGTAACTGGAGATAGTTTCAAACACTTTCACTCCCAGGGGCTTGGGTTTAATCCCTGCTGGGGAACTAAGACTGTATAGCAGGGCCAAAAGAAAAAAAAAATTCACTGCTGCATAGCAGAAGCCAAACCTCATCTCCTGACTCAGAGGGCAGCTCTCCACTCCTTCAAGTTCTCACCTGGAGTTGAACTTGATGTTAAGGTGGTTTCAAGACCCTAAGTAAATAGCTAGTGACTGGTCTACAACAAGGTAAATTAAAGTAATGACATTCATCTCAATGTAAGTTTGGCTATCATTCACTCCATTACGCAAGTAAATACACTATTATGTCAGTAATTTTAATAGGTATCATTAATATCACTTCAAAACTGAAGTGAGCCACACAGGGCTACAAGTTCAAAGGAGGGTAGCTGCCATTTGGGAATTAAAGTTTAGCTGTCTGAACTGGAAGTAGATTGGATAACAAACTTCAAAGTGAAAGGCATGATTCTGAGAAGTCATCTAAAGGAAAACTTTAAATTAAGGGCAAGTAATTTGCTTCACAGATCTGAGAAACATGGTTTATCTAAAGCAACTTAGGAAAGCTGCTGAAAACAGATTTCAAGTAGAACAAAGCCAATACTCCATGCCAAATATTTAACAAATGTGTATATTTAGAAAATGCATATGAATTGGGAAATATAATTTTCATAGCACCAGTTCGATGGCTGCCTTATTCAAGGATGACAATGCCACAAGTTAAGAACTGCTAAGAATTGGCAAATAAATGCCAATAAATGATTTTAACAACAAAATGTTTTGTTTACATTGATACCCTTGTGAAAACCTTCAGGCTTTAAATACTCTAATTCAGTTATCAGCCCTTCACTCTCAGCGAGGTGGTCTCAGGGACATGATGAAATCATTGCTATCAAAACATAAATTTCAGTAACCATCTAAAAATACCTACTTTCCAACTTTGAATGTTTGGACTCAAGAAATTCCTCAGTGTTGCACATGCTTGTCTGTGTTAAGAGTGACAACTAAAAGCTTGTATGCTCTACAAATTAGGGAAACTCAAAAAAGAGATGAGTCTTTGTCAGCTAAATGATGAATATCTAAAAATGCTCTTGTGAAATAAGGATACACAGGCCATGAATGTTTCTTGTACAGGAATAACTTTATTCAAGAACTGCAGAAAACTGATGCCCACAAAATCAGAAGATGCTTATTTTTCCAACTTAATACTTGTGACAATTCAAAGCCAACCAGCTTACCGACAAGCAAGGGTTTATGTCAGGGTCCCTCAGCCTCCGCGTCACCATGGGCATCCTAAGTGTCTTCTCCCTGCAGGCAGAGGTTGGGAAGGGTAACACAGTGGATGGCACACGAGTCGGTTAAGCCTCATCAACTCCGCAAGTACAGTACCTGAAAAGCTAACTCTGGCATAAAGACTTTCTAGTGAGGAACTCACGCGCTCTCTGTATTTTCAGAATGAAGACTTGGATGTGATTCTCCTCTACACTGACTCATGCCTCAGCACTAAGGCCTTGTTTAAACTGTTTAAGTGCCTCTACTGAAATCTGACTACAATGTTCAGAGAGAAAGTTCCGCTAAAATTCAGTTTTAGTTTACTCCTATTTCTAAAGGTGGCTCAGTGGTAAAGAATCTGCCTGCCAATGCAGGAGGCAAGAGTTCTACCCCTGGGTTGAGAAGACCCCCTGGAGGTGGTACTGACAATCCACTCCAGTATTCTTGCCTGGAGAATTCCATGGACAGAGGAGCCTGGCAGGCTACAGTCTATGAAGTTGCAGAGTCAGACTGACTTTAAGTGACTAAAAGACAATAATATCTATAAACTAAACAATTAAATACATTAACAAAAATACAGCATTCATTCTACTGATTACTTCCTTATTATACACTGATTAGCACACAAAGTAAGCGTGGAATAATTTAGTACAACTCAACTTAGGAAAAATTTGTCAACTAAAGTACCTGAATGTCTACTCTGTGGCCTGTCCTGGCCAATATACCAATAAATAAATAAATAAACCACCAAAGTTATTGCTCAGTGGACATTTTGAAAAGTTAAAAAAAAAAGAAATCTGAAACTTAACTTCCCAAAGGCATCTTCTACTTAACTGATACTTCCAGGGATAAAGGAGGTAAAGGAACACCACTGCGGCACATTCATCTTCTGGTTAAAGCCCTATAGGCATACAGCCTGAAGGAGCCTTTATCAATTAAAGATGAACACAGTTCTCAAGAGCCAATTAGGGATTCCAAGTCAAATCATATACTCTTATAACAAGTAGGTCACCTATATTATCCCAGGACAACTGCCCTCTCTAATGAATCTAACTGAAATTGGTATGCCTGTTATCTTCAAAGACACATCATAGACATGAACTAAAAGAGAATTTAAAAAAAAAAAAAAAACTCAACTACTTGTTAAACACAATTCTTTATTTCAACATATTGGCATATTATCAATGAGCCACCCACAAATATTTTTAAATGCTCAGCGCTAACTTTATGGAACCTACCCCTGAATCCCGCTCTAGCTTAACTTTTACCTCAAGATCAAAGAAGACAGCAAATAATGTAGGATGACCTACCCAAAACACCAATGAATAAAAAACTGCGTCAGTATAACTAGACAGAGCTCTGAACTTCTGTACAAAATGGTTTCTACTTCCCTTCCCCAAGATGGGGCCATCAAAAAATATGAGCCATTAAGTACGTTCAGGAAAAACAATCAAACCCCCATAAGCTCCTGAGAAGTGGAGGTATTCTAGGATCATGAGTCAACTAGTTCCCTTTCTCTTTTACAAGAAAGATCAGGATGTCCAAGCTAAAGGGGATAACCTTTGCAAAGAAGGATGGAAAAATGTCTAACCCTTCCAGGTCCTTTCAGTAAGTAATCTATTTTATGATCTTCATTGACCAATACGTGAGTACACCTAGCTAACAGAAATCTCTTGGCAAGAAGAAAATTCAAGATGCTGTTCAACTGTACCTAGAAGCTTCTTCCTCTCCCGAACACAATTTCTTTGCGGGCTTGACTTCTTCCTAAGACAGGTGAGGGCACAAAATGAACTCACGGCTTTCTTGTCTACATGTGTCCCGGGCTCTGAACACAGAGCTCTGCTCCGCTGTTCACACTCCTTGGATGTAATCTCAACAATGATGGGACGCAGACTGAACTCAGGTTGCCCCCCTTCCGTGAAAGTGTTCTACTTTCTATCACCATCGTCGGACCACCTAGGTAACATCATATATACCGAATCAGGTTTGCTGTAGGAATTTATTCACCGTTCCTTTCCTTTCCCTTCCGGGTTCTAAATCCCAGTCAATCTAAGTCTGGATTTCCGACTGTCACCTGCTCTGCACGAACCCACATGTAATAACTGGAAATGAAGAGGAAATGTCAGTTTACAGTGAGGAGCGGGGCTGAAAGTGGCTGTTCCGCTAGGGAGGCCTCATCTACTTACTCTCTGAAGGTAACAAACAAACATGCCTAAGCTCTGTCCGCAGAGGACAGTCAGAGAGAAACCAACGATTTGAGGGAGGGGGCGCAAAAGACACACAGCACATTTGAGGAAGAGCTCTCAAAGCTTTCTGCAAAGGGCAAACTGCTTTAAACCGTATTTCTTGACTTTCCATCCACTGGTTCCACGTCCCCACTCGGAGCAGCTTTGCAAGGGAAGGGAACGCTGCTGACCGGTCCAAGGCCCCCTGCCACCATCACCGCCCGCGCCCCCAGGCTGTCCGAGCCCAGGCAGGGCTGCGGGCCTCCCCACCGCAGGAGCAGCCGTCGGGAACTCGCAACGCGTCCCTCGAGGCATTCGACCCTCCAACGTACGTCTGGGAGCAGGCGGCGGATCAGGAAGTCGGGGTGGCCTTGCGGAGGGGCCGGGGAAGGCCAGAGGAGACCCCGGAGCGAGGCGAGCCCCAGGCCCGCGGCCTCCAGAAAGCTGCCCGTCCAATCTTGTGAGCGGTGGGCGCAGGTGAACACACCTTGCTCTCACTTTCGACGGCACCCAGGAGGGCAGGGGGCGAAGAAAACGCAGGGAACTGGGGGCACGGGCGGGGAGGCGGGGGGCCGATTACGCTCCAAAGGCTGGGAAGGAAAGGTGAAGGAAGGGCTGGGGGTTCCCGGGCAGGGGGCACCTCCCTCGGCCCCGGCCCGAGGAGACCCGCGTCGCCACGAGGAAGCGCAACGGCAAGAGGCCCGCGCCTAGGCGAGGCCTGGTGGAGGCGGCTTCACGCCAGAGACGCGACTGCGGGTCCCGCGGCGGCCCGGGCGCGCCAGTCTCTTCCCGCAGCCCTGCAGCCGCGGCGGAGAGAAAGCGGGGGGAGGGGGGGGAGTGGGGGAGGGGGGGCGGGGAAACCACTCACCTCGGGCGGCCGCTCCGCCAGCGCCCAGGCCGTCTCCAGCTCCAAACACGTCAATGGCTCACGCAGCTGGGCCTTAAGTAGCGCGCATCCCAACGTGCTGCCCCCTCTCCTCGGCGGCCGCCGACCCAATCAGCGCGCCCCGCCGCCTGACTGACAGCCGAGCGGGTCCCGGCTCGGCGGGGGCGGGCGGGCCTCGCCCCGCCCCCAGTCAGCGGGAGGAGAGCCGAGGCGGGAGGAGTGGGCGGGGCGGCGCTTGCGACCCCGCCTCCGCCCCCGCCCCGCCGCGCCCCCCGCGCCGCGGCCCTCCTCTTAACACTTCGCCTTGACTGGCGGTGCGGCAGGCCAATCGGAGGGCGCAGCTGCGGCGGCGGCGGCACCCAGTGGCCGGCCCCGGGGCGGAGCGCGCGGGGAAGGGCGGGGAGGGCGGGCGCAGCGGCGGGCGGGGGCAGGGGGCGGGCCGGCGGGAGGCGGGGGCGGCGGCCGAGCGGGCCGGGGGAGGCGGCGGTGGGCGCGACGTCGGCGGCGGCGGCGGCGGCGGCGGCGGCAGCTGCAAGTTGGGCTGCAGGGGCAGCGCATACACTACAATGGCTGCTGGAAAGAGGCGTAAGGAAACAATTTCCAGGCCCGCCGCGTCCAGCCCGAAATATGAGAAAAAAATTATTAGAAATTCCGCGGGCGGTGTAAAGGCGGCGGACGGGCCGGAGGGAGGATGTTAAAGCCCCGCGGTGAGTTCTCCCGGGGTCCGGGGCGGCGGAGAGGCGTTTAGCGGGAGAAATATCAGGGTTATTTAAATTATGGGACTCGCTGAGGGGGCAGAGGAGCCGCGGCGGCGAAAGGAGGAGGAAAAAGTTTGTGCTGCTCTCAGCCCCTGCTCAGGACCCCAGAGAGAAAAATAATAATAAAAAATAAAATAAAAATAATCGGGCGGGGGTGCGGGGACTCCCGAAGTCGCTTCTGACAGGGCAGGGGGCGATGCGGCTGGAGACCCGAAGGTGAGGTCGGTGGGAAAAAAAAAAACCCCTTTATTCAGGGTCTGGAAAGTTTGAAAAGTTTTCCTCCTCCTCCGCCTCCTCTCTGGTGCTGCGAATATTGTGACAGCGGCAGCGGCAGCAGCGAGAGCGGAAGACATTAGAGACCCGAAAAATAAGGGAAAAATTAATATAAATTCGGTTTTGAGAGTAAACTCTCCGCATTTTCTACCAAAACATCCCGGGGGAAGGTGGGTCCCCAAAGGGCCTGGCGGAAACCCGCAGTCGGCAATATTTGGGGGGCACTTGGAGTGACTTGGGGGGAACTTTGCCCCTTTTTTCAAAAGAGGTTTTTCTTTTTTGGAGAAATGCATTTGTTTTCGCCCTTTCCTCAGGTGGGCGAGTCGGGGTCGGGGTGCGGGGTCTGCGAGGAGGTGTGAGCCCCGGGTGTGTGGCTGCGGGGGGGGAGGGGGGTGCTAAATGAAAGCAGGAGATCTGCACAGACCAGGGACAGCTTGTTGTCAGTATCATAAACAACCAAAATGGAGGGAGAACTCAGGCATATAACCAAATAAAAATTTTTTAAAAATCGCAAAAAAATCCCAAAAAATCCGGGATGCTCCCCCTTTTCTCGCTCAAGGTAAAAGGATGAACCGCCTTTCCCCTGAAGTCCATTTTGACTTTGCAGGGACCAAGGAGTTAATATTTATTTATTTTTTCAAAACTTTCGAAGGGCAAAAGCCTTTTATAACTCAACCGACAATGAGAAAACGTGAAAATCCGATGCTCGAGAAGGAGGGGGAGGGGGGGGGAGGTGGTAGTGCAGAAACTGCTAAACTTAATGGTAATGTGGGCTGATCTGACATAAGATAAACACTATATTTGCTATTTTATAACTCTGTTTTAATGATCGTTGCGGGTTTTTTTTTCTCTCCCCCCGGTGGAAAAAAAAAAGTGATGCCATTTTCTTAATAGAGTTAATATGTGTGATTGGAAGAATAAACCCTTTCGGCTTTGAATTGCATTTTCGTCGCATTTATGCTTCAGGTTTTGTTGGTGGCTCCCTCCTTTCTTTAAACTAGGCTCTACAGAGGAGGGGTAGGGAGGTGGTGGTGCACACAGAGGCTGGTGTGCAAGACTGGAGCACCTTTTGGGGTGGGGTGGGGAGTTACTGAGCTCCTCGCCTCCTGACACGTTTGCTTCACCTGCTCATCCTCAGGAAAGAATGTCCAGCCGAGGTTTTCTGGTTTTATGTATAGAAAAGGATGGTGCCTCTTGCATCACAGTGAAGTTAATGGGAAAGTGCTGCTGATGTTGGTTTCCACGTGGGATGTGGGACAGAGCAGGGCATTTTAAAGGGACAGCTTCTCTTTTCTTAAGATTTTTCATCACCTACACAGAAGCCCTGCGTGAGGACCAGCAGCAGAGGTGCTGGGAGGGTGTGGTGATGGAAGAGCCTCCTCTTTCCATGACTCAAACGCACCCACCTTTAGCAGTGATGGAGGGAAAGGAGGGCTAAAGCAGGCTCAACAGAAGATGGATATTGTGTAGATCAGTTTGTTTCCAAGCTGTTCTTTTGTGTAACAAGCCCTCCCAGGAACTTTGCATGTTACATTGCTGTGCTCTGGAAGCTGATTTTGGAAGGAATTGTGGAAAAATGGAAATAGTTTAAGGTGTGTGGTGTAATGGTATAGCATTATTGAACAGTTATGAATTCTGTGCAGTGAGATCAAAGAGCTGTGTATGCCCATAATATGATTTTACAGCCATTTTGTAAAAGCTGTAAAATACCTAATATTCAATTTGGCTTAAGGTACACTGAGGACTTCTGGTTGAAAACTGCAGACAGAGTGGTGGAGATTCTTTTACTCTGTAAGCAGTAGGCATTTCTTTAAGGGAAAAAAAAAGCACATACACCAACACCATGGAAAAGTTTACGCATACCCATTTTAAAGCCCCATCCTATACATGTGCAGTAACTCTGTGCCTTTGAAATGAAAAGGTTTTAAAGTCCTGTGACCTACCGGTTTGCATCTTTTAAGTTGAATTTATTTGTGTTATTTAACAGGAAATGTTTACTGATCATAAACTACTATTGACTCTGATGGCTTAGATTTTCACAATATTTTCAAAATTGAAAATATGTAAGTTGTATGCTGTACTCTATTGGACATTAAGGTTCACCTTGAATAGAATTTACTTGTGTTCCATTTTCCACAGGTATATGAAGTTTCTGGAATAGATACCTATTTTCCTTTGTTTTTATGATTTATAGAAATGGATTAAAATAAGGACTGGATTTTTAGACTTCTTATATAGAATATTTTTTTCTGGCCATACTGTACAAACAAATTATTATTTTGAAGTCTGGTGTATGTTAACCTGTGTTTACATCAGAACTCTTACCTGCACCTTTCTGTAAATACCTCGATAGTAGTAGTTACATCCGTATAGTGTGGTTTCTGATTTTGGAAGCAATTGCAACTTTCTAAGAACTCATTAAAAAATTAATCCCATGAACCACTGTTAAATCAAAATTGATTGGAAAGTGATTAAACTGTCAGTGGAGAAGGGAAACTCCCCCCCCCCAAATAATCTTTGCAGAGGTTTCATGGTGCCATTAATACTTACAAAACCTTTGAAATTTATCTTACATGTTCATTGTAGTTTGGCTGGAGACAGTTACATTGAGTATAAGTAGTCAAATTCAGTATGGATTTAAAATAAGTGAGACTTTTAGATCTTGAATAGTTGCCACTTTGACAAACCAGTTACTAGTATCAATAAATTTAGTTTCTGTAAATGTGAAGAAAAAGTATTTCTTCCAGTTACATGAGACCATGGAGTTATTCAGTTTGCTTGGACACTTCACATTATGATTAGTTTATTGTCATCCTAAATAAAAGTGCTGGTATTGTGATTTTTTTTTTTTTCTATATCACAAAAGGTGGTATGAAACCTTCTTCATGTTTGGGTTTTACACACCTGGCTACTTGTCTGAATCAGAAAATATATTCAGAGCACACAAGTATAAAACTTGTAATTCCTTGGAGAGTCTCATTTACCTAGGACATAGCATAATTACTCATTTGAATTGATTGTACTGAGTTTTTGTAATGACTAAGAAATACTACCTGTTGAACATCCTTTTTCTGAAGCTACTATTAAATTGTACCAATTAACAGAAATAAGTTAAGGCTGTTACATACTCATAATCTTTATTTCAGGTAGAATTAGAGAAGCCTCATAGCTGGAGATGCTAATTTGAAATTTATATGCCTAATTTTGCTATTGGACATTCTATAAGGAATTTAGCTGCTGTGGAAGATGATTTATAAATATGGGCTAATTCTGATAAAATTCAACTCCTGCATATTTATTACATATCTAAATATTTTAATAAACAGACATAGCTAAATAAATTAGTGAATATGTTTTTATCAGTATATGTTCGAAGTTGTAAGTGTACTCTTGGTGTTTTAAAATCATACAAAGGTGTCCTTTTTTTTCCTTTGTTTTTAACATAATCCTGGTTGTCACTACATACATTTTGGTTTGGTATTCTAGAAATTTTCCTTTCTAAGAATTAAATTGTTATTTGCTGAATGAAATATAATGCTGCTGTCTTTGAGATTTGAAAAGCTTGAGAACTAAAACATGTATCTATAGCTGTCTTTGAAGTTTTGTTTTGATAATCATTTGCTCCTTGAGCTGTGTAATCAAAATATTGGTTCCTTCCAGGAATGTTTTAATGTTCTTTATTTAGAATCTTGTTCTTTGGAAAATTAATATGTCTGAAAAGTTACCTGTTACACACACATATATACACACAGACACACACCCAAGAAAAAAGTTTTACTGAGTAACTTTACTTACACAATCTGGAATACTTGTTCTTTTTGATGTGTTTCCAAATGTATAGGAAATAAATAAAAATTTTCCTCTTTATATTGATAACATC